AGTTTATTTAATTTCCGTGGAACGTATGCGGTGAGCCATTTCTTACAATAGTGCTACTTATGTAAGAGGCTCGCGAGTGTTTGAAGAAAATTAATTCTCGGTGGCGGGAGTGGGTAAGACCTCTTTACTTAAGTCGCGACATTGATGGACTATTTGTAACCAGTTTTGACGAAATGTACAAAAATGACCCGGAGCAGTTCAAAACTACGGTGAGGATGACTAAGGAGGTGTTTGATTTGCTCTTTGGGCTCGTGAAGGAACGCCTCATAAAGTGTTCCAACAGGCCGTCGATTTCTGCAGAGATGAGACTATTCTTAACATTGAAGTAAGTAAATATTTCTAAAGAAAATTCCATACTGATTTGTGTGCATTACATTCATAGTTTCCTAGCACACGGGGGAACTCAGCATTTGTACGCTACAGCGTATAAAATGGGTCGCTCCACAGTCAACAAAATAATTTTGGAAACCTGCGAAGCGCTTTGGAGTGAACTTGGCAGTGTATATTTGTCTGTGCCAAAAAGGCACGAGTGGAAACGTATATCCCATGACTTCAACACTATTTGGAATTTCGCGAACTGTGTGGGTGCAATCGACGGAAAGCACATCACTTTAAAATGTCCTTCCAACTCCGGATCTCTATTTTACAATTACAAGGGTACTTACTCCATCGTATTATTAGCATGTTGCGATGCGAAGCACACATTTACTTTTATCGATATTGGTGCGTACGGTTCGCAAAGCGACGGCGGTGTGCTTTGGAATTCTGGATTTGGTCAAAGGCTGTTCCATGATCAACTAGACCTGCCTGAGGATGACTTTTTACCAGACAGCAATATTAAGTTTCCTCATTGGGCCGTATGAATTTCAATTTTGTTTGAATAAATTGAGTAAAAGATCTGAAATTTTAAGAAAAAGCAATTGCTTATTTTTATTCATACGGCCCATTATTTCGTTGGAGATGCAGCATTTCCTTTAAAAAAAAATTTAATGCGGCCATATCCTGGTTAGTATACGGAAAATGTATTGCATAGAAAATGGTTATGTTGAAAGTTGCATTTATAGTTTGGAAATAAAAGAGTCTGATGCTTTGCATTGATACAACTTGCAACTCAACCATTATTTGCATCTATACTATGATCTATACTATGTGCATATGTATGTACATACAAATAAGCCTTTTTTTAATTTCAGGATTGCATCTTCCACCCGATCGTGAAAATTTTAATAAGCGCCTTTCAAGAGCTCGGCGTGTTATTGAAAACGCCTTCGGAATTATGACAGCACGATGGAGGATTTTGCTATCCCCATTGCAAATGCAACCATCAAGCGCGGAGAGCATCGTGAAAGCAACAGCGCTGCTACATCATTTTTTAAAGCTAAACGATGGCAGTTATTGCCCACCTGAATATGTTCATCGATATGAAGGAGACAATGTATTAAATGCATTATGGCGCCAAGAAATCTCAACACCCCTACGAGGAACTGGTCGATCAATGTCAAACAACGCTACAAGAAGTGCTTTCATGTTGAGAGATCAATTGAAAGATTATGTAGCCACGCATCCTATTAATTAAATACACACCTATTCAATGAAGTCACTCACATAACATGTAGTTGCATACAATAGAAGTATTAGTCATTGCGGT